TACAAGAACACAAAAATGAAATACAAAGGAGTAAGATATTCACATAATAATTTACACAGAAGTCAAAGACTAATAAGACAGTGAATTTTAGCAACTGAATTTGTTTGGCAAACTTTCATAAGACAAAAAGTGGATCCCAATTTTGCATGTAATAGGCTCCTGAGCAGAATGAATTCCCTCATGTAACAATATTTACAACTATAGTGAAAGAAAGGTAAAGACAAACTAACAAAAAAGTCACCAATACATTTCAAATTGGAAGCAGATACTTTTTATTAACTGACCAAATCATAAAAACATCATGGTAGATACCTGAAAGGGAAAAAATAAGCCTATTTAACAATCTAGCAGCCAAAAATTAACACAAATCTGTTATAAAGTTGTAATATTTCAGTTACGTTTTAAAGGACACCCAAATTTCTGCTTTTAAGTAGACATGACAAAGGGGTGGGGTGTTCCCTCTAGAAAGGTCCTCCAAAGAACTAAATGAACTAATCATAAGCTAGATCCCCTTCCCCACCAGAGTACCACGTTAAATTAAAATCATCAATACTTGCCGGAAAAAAAAAAATCATTTCTACTCTATTATTAAAGACAACTCCTTTCAGAATACAGTATCTCACCTTAGTTCATCCTTCTAATAAGCCTGTTGATCTGGTCTTCCCTATTTCCAGCATCTCCACCTTCCACAAAATGGGTGGTTTTTTTCTTCATTCCACCTCGTGGAGAAGATAATTTAAAGGGCCACAGGAAGTTATTTGCCTCTTTGAAGCGTTTTCCAACAGTATAGATCTCATGAATCAGATCTTCCATGCAAATGATGCCATATTTGCCTGAAAAATGTTAATATAAGGTTAAGCTTTAAAAGATTTTTTTTGTATTAAATTCTTTTATTTGTACATTGTAGGTATACAACACAATTACATTTCTCATTGGGAATTGTACCTTTATATAATGTATCTTGGTTCTTTTTTTCCCCATTCCTAGCCCTCCCTTCACACCCTCCACCCTTCCCTATTTACAAAGACTTTATTTCCATTTCTCAGCATTTAAAAGATTTTTTAATTAGAGGATTAAAATGAGCCAGGCAGGGTGACCCTCGCCTGTAATCCCAGAACTTGGGAGGCTGAGGCAGAAGCATCGCTGTCGCTGTGAGCTTGAGGCCAGCCTGAACTGCACAGAACTGTCTCAAAACAGGAGGAAGAGGAAGGGAGGGAAGGTTTATAATGGTTTGAGATAATAAGGCTGTAAGAGGCCAGAAAACATCACCTTGGGCTATTCAGAAGTTCTCTAAAGCAGAACCTACCAAGAGATCGAGCAATCAGTCCATTATCAGTCAAGGCAATTCGCTTCTTATTGATTTTGCCATAGCCACGCTTGTATATTAGTTCATTTACTGACTTCAGGTTTGGGTACCTAAAATATTAAAAACAGACATAATCAAATAAGGCTATTACTATAGATCTTGCTGTATAACCAATTCACCACACAAAGGAAAAAGCACCTACCCCCATGCAATATATGGTTCCACAATTCTCAGCATGTTAATTGAAGCCTTGTTAAGCTTAACAAAGGTACCATTGAAGATTTGGCGAAGGCGAAGAAGCTGCAACACCTTGCGGACCTTTGGGCTCACCCCATTGATCCTGCAGTGCAAAAGGACCAAAAAATTTATCTAGCTTTTACCAGAATTTCTATTAATGACGGACAAAAAACCCCCAACCAAGTCCCACCTAAATAGGTTAAGAATGACTTCATGTTACAAAGACTCAAGGTCACTGGTATTTAGCTTTCCTTTATCCTAGTTAGCTAAATTACCATTTCCACCAACTTGCCTCCTCTCCAAGATTCTCTTTACCGTCTCCTACTTTTCTATGTTTTTGTTAAAACAAGGACAGTACATTTTTACTTTAAAAATTTTAGGGACACTGAACCCTTCTTGTGTTTAATTAATAGAATGGATGGGAGCCCAGGGCTTGCACTAAACCCCAATGTCACTAAAACCCTTCCTAGTTAGAGAAAAACATAGTAATTCAAATGTTTTGAAATTAGTGCTCGAACATATTTCATTGAAATTTTCTAACAAACCGAGTTTCATTCTCAGTACTGAAAAAAAAAACAAAAACAGAACAGAATCCAGTAAGAATTAACTTACCCCCTGATCCGGATGACAAATGCCAATTTGGGTTCTGCAGGTACGTAAAAGTTGCCAGCTTTTCTTGCCATCCTTGCCATTCGAATCTCAGTTCTGTACATCTGTCTATACTCTTTATGATAGTGCCTAGCTTTTTCATAGATGAGCTTCCTCCTCGCCTTTCGAAGCTGAAAACCAATTACCAATTATACATAATGTTTCACTCCCAAACACAAATAGCAACCCCAAACTTTCCCTGAAATTTTGTCTTTGCCACAGCAAATAGTAACCTTCCAAAACAGTATATTCATTTGAAGTTACAACACTAAGATACTCTAAGCAGTTTGCTCAGTACAACACTGAGGTAGGTGTTGCTTTAAGAATACTGACTTCATTCTCACTCCCAACCACAAGTTCTCTTAGGTGCAGGTAACTCCAAAGTTTACTTACCATTTTCTGGACAAATTTCTTTTTCAGGCGCTTTACCTTCAGCTCTGCGAAACATCTTCGCTTTTTCTTAAGGGTTTCTGGCACAGCAGGAACCTTCTTTTTCTTCTCCCTATCATAAGAAATAGCAACGGCTCAAAATCTTCCAGCGCTGTATTACCACCTCTATACTGAACACTGTTTTAACAGAACCAGCTTCACTACGTCTAGCCACTAACAGGCTTGTTGCTTTAATATGCTCAGGTTTTAAGATGCAGGAAATCTTTGATTCTCTCCATGCCAGTAACCTTCACCTCCAACACACACCACTTTACTCAAATGGCAATTATAAATGTGACATTAACAACATCTACAGCAACCTAAGTCCCGGCAGCCAACGACTGAGAACCATCTACAGTGAGGCTGACAAAACGTGGCCTAAAAATAAAAAAAAAAAGTAAAACATATTGACTTTTAAGGGCCCTAAGATCCTTTTAAGATTAAAACCAAACCAACCACCACTCCAGTTCAGGTCTCAATCGCCACATATTGAAAAGCAACTGCTTCCCGGCAGAGACTTGGGCCAAATGCTAGTCAAAGCCGAACTTAATTCAGAGGTTCTGCGCCTCCCTGGGAAGACCTTCCATCGAGAACTGGACCCAGTTTCGCACACATTCCGATTCACGCTTCATTCCTACTATTGCCAGAACCGCCGCCCCAAGGCCGCCTGCATCTCATTATAGCCAGAGGTCCTCACTGATGTCAGAAAGCGTCACAAACACATGGAAAAGTCAGCAAAAGTACGTGATGGGAGAAGAAACAAGACGAATGGCCTCTACTATCGGGGATGGAGAGGGATTCTGGAGAGAACGAAGAGCAACTTACTTGACAGCCTCCATGGTTCCAGCCGGAAAAGAGGAAGTTGGCGCATGCGCACAGTCCACTTAAAGACGGCGTGTGAAGGCCCTCACAATTTATAGGTGTCCTAAGAAAAGCCAGAAAAGAACCTACAATTAAGAACTCGTCTCGTGGATGCAAAATTAAGAACTGCTTGACTTAGTCTCTTTCAGTGGACTTTTGAGTAAAATTTATATGGGAAAAATAAATGCATTGACTTTTAATCAATTCACGTACAGAGGGTACTGACCGCTGGACTCCTTGGGGTCCTAATCCCTAGGCTGCGTTAACGGGATAAAACTCCAGTTTCACGTAGCAATTTGTTCAAATGAGCGCCTCATGGGTGCGAACTACAAATCCCGACATGCATCACTCTATGGGCCATCCAGGGGGAGGGCTACACCTGACCCACACTATCCTCAACCACGGCGCTGGTGACTTCTGCCTGGAAAATGAGCCTTTGGGAACACATCCCAAGCGGCTAGCTGCGATCCGAACTCAAAAGTCCGTGTTGGCTTTCTCCTGGCTCTCAGCCACCAGTAGACACAGACGCCGCACCTCGTTTGCCGCGCGGCCGCGGTCCTTCTCGCCACTCCTCCAGCCTGCAGGGCTGTCTTCGGCAGCGCCTGATCGCAGGCGGGGCCGTCCCGTGTCGCCGGGCTAACCAAAGTGGCGAGACGGAAGCGTGAGGACAGGACGGCCTGAGGAGGACGGCCAGGGCTCCGCCGACCTCAGGGCCTCGCAGGCGGAGGCAGGGACAACTCATGGCAGAGAGCGTGAGCCGCGAAGGGAGGTGCGACGAGAGCTGGGGGCTGGGGCCACGGCCATGTGAGAGGGGCTGCCCCGCGCGGCTCAAGGGACTGCGGGCGGGGGGCGGGGGCCGGGGGGCTGGGCTGGGGGCGGGGTGCGCCCGGGGGCGGGGAGGGCCGAGCAGAGGGAGGGCCGCTGCCGATGCCGCCGTCGGCTCTTCCCGGTCGCGGGTTATATAGTGCGGAGCGTGGAGCCCGCTCTGAGCCGGCGGGGAGCGCTCCCACTGACGAGCGGCGCAGCGCTGCGGAGCCCGGTGACCGAGTGACAGCCGCGGAGAGTGCGGCGCAGGGGGATCCGAGCCCACAGGGCAGCTGCAAGCCGTTGGGCAGCGCTTGCTTGCGCCGAGCGAGTCACCCTTGCCCGGCTCTCCGCCGCCCCGCACCCTACTCGCCCACCCCGTCGCAACTTGGGTCAAGTTGACAACTCCTCGGGGCTGGCCGGCCGGTGCGGTCTCAGCCGCGGACCCCTGCCCCGGGGTGAGAGGGAGCCGCGGCGCAGGCTCCGCGGACGCTCGAGCAAAGGCAGCTTGGCCATGAGGGCAGCGCGCGGCGCCTAACTCGCGGCTGTCACCGCCGCTGCAGCGGGACCGGCCGGCCGGGCGGTCGCTCGGGACAGGAGGGCGGCGGGCTCGGCCCCGGGCCACCGCACGGAACCCGGGCAGGGTGGCCCTGCGTAGGCAGGGAGCGGCGTCGCGCACTCCGGCCCGGCGGGGACCTCGGGGGCGGGCGCGGGGCGCAGGCTTCTAGTCCCGGCCGCTGTGTCAATCGCCCCGGGGCTCGGACCTGGGCTGCCCGGCGTGGGGTGGGTGAGGACACGGGTGCTGGGCTCGCGCGGGGCCTCCGGCGTCGCGATGAACATCGTGGTGGAGTTCTTCGTGGTCGCTTTCAAAGTGCTCTGGGCGTTCGTGCTGGCCGCGGCGCGCTGGCTGGTGCGGCCCAAGGAGAAGAGCGTGGCCGGCCAGGTGTGCCTCATCACGGGCGCCGGCAGCGGCCTGGGCCGCCTCTTCGCGCTGGAGTTCGCCCGGCGCCGGGCGCTGCTGGTACTCTGGGACATCAACACGCAAAGCAACGAGGAGACGGCGGGCATGGTGCGCCACATCTACCGCGACCTGGAGGCGGCCGATGCCGCCGCGCTGCAAGGTAACTCCTACCGGCGCCCGAGCATTGTTGGGTCAACCCGCTCCCCAACCAGCATCCTCCCCCAGAGGGCCCCCCAAGCCCAAGTCATGGTCAGCCCCGCTCTCGAGGAAAAAAAATCCTATCGGCCTTCTGGCAGACAAGTGGAATTTGTCTGGTGATCATAGAGCTCGATCACGCCTGTGTTAGAAGGGGAAAAGTGCCAGACCTCGTCCTAGCAGAGAGCCTGTCTCTCTGGGCCGACTGTAGTGTTTCCTAAGCCCTCTGAGGAGAAAGAAGGCAGAGGGAACTTGTTACCACAGATTTGGATTGTGAAGAATTGTCTCTGACTTGCATGCGGCAGAAAGGGAAGCTAAAGTGTCTTTAGGAAGTTGTTCCGTGACTGGACTAAAGCGTGGATCTGTGTTATTGTGGTCGGGACCTCTTAGACTACCACAGTGTTGATGGTTTCTCTCTAACTGTAGCATGGAATGGAGGGATAATTACATTGTTTCACCAGTGATAAGTAAGTGCTTTAGTTCCAGACCCTGAGCTTGATTGAGAGATACCGGACCTCTAGACGAAGTGCTTGAAGAATCTCAGCCTCATTGTAAATTTCTTCCATGTTTTTGGTCACCTCAGTCTGCATTTTTGTATATTAACTAGCCTGAATCTGAGACATTTTTTTGAAAGCCTAAACAGATCATAACCAACCATTAAGTAAATACTGGCCCAGGAAATTTGATGATGGCTCTTGCTTTTTGGCAAAATTCTTCATTTCCAAGGAAAACATTGAACCATATGAAGATTGACTTAGGCACACTCCTCCCCTGTATTGCTTGTTACCAAATTTATTGGCACCTACCTTTTTTAATTGTTTGAAAATGTTAAATTTTCATTGTTTGGAGGAATAGCAAATACACATTTTTGTGTCCCTTCCAAAACCTAATGATAAGAATGCTGTTTTTCCAGGGGAGTGATTGGGTTTTTAAGCTTTTTGAGTTCTTAATGTGGTAAAATTGCATATTTACCTGTAAACTTGACTTGTAAGGATACTTTTTAGAGGAGTCAGCTACAAAACAAACTAGTAATCTCCACTGTTTCAGAGAAACTATTTCGTGGCTTTGAGTGAATTCACATTATTATTTAAGTTTTGAGTTGAGAGCCTTGATATGAATTTCTGTTTTGAAGATGCTCATGCTAAATATTAGAAGCTGTTTCTGGCCACTGCCCCCCCACCACCACCAAAAAAAAGTATGTGTAATGTGTGTGTTATTCTCTGGGCTGAGATCAGTTCTTTGCAGGTGTCTTTAACTCCAGCAGGCTGATCCCATGTGGTCTACTTGTATTGGGCTTGTCACAATTAAATGACTTTCCCCTAAGCAAAGTTATCCAGTAAATTGCTGTAATTCCCAAAGACTTTGGAGGGTTGGGGGAAGGAAAGCAGCTGTAAGTTCTGTAATTGGCAAGCCTTACAGTGTTAGAAATTTGAAGCTCACTGTAGTATTTTTGTTTTGTGTGATCTTTGTCCGACTGTTTATCATGTGACTCACTTTCTGCACCCCCTTCTCTGTTCCATTTTTCTTATCTGGACTTCTGAGGACAGCTGGGAATGGCGAGGAAGAAATTCTGCCCAACTATAACTTGCAGGTTTTTACCTACACCTGTGATGTGGGGAAGAGAGAGAATGTCTACCTGACAGCTGAAAGGGTCCGCAAGGAAGTTGGCGAGGTCTCAGTCCTGGTCAATAATGCTGGCGTGGTCTCTGGACATCACCTTCTAGAATGTCCTGATGAGCTCATTGAGAGAACCATGATGGTCAATTGCCATGCACACTTCTGGGTAAATATAAACATCTTTATTTTTTATCCCTGGTCCCCCTCAATGAGAAGGTTAGGAAGGAGAGAAACCTCAGTACCAGCTTGAAAGTCACCTGCATTCTTTTACCACAGTCCCCTTCTGGTGAGTTATTCCCCATGGTGAATTACAATGTATACATGTTGGTAACTATTAAATCACTGATTTCTCCTCCCGCCCCCAATTCAGTATTTCTTGAGAGGGTAGAAGACTGAACATTGTGAACTAATTTGAAAGATTGCCATAAAAATAACAAGAGGGAGTATAAAACCCTGGGTTTGTTTATTTTACTTTCTTTGAGTTTATAAAACATTGGTTGTTCTTATGAATTCCTAAGGTCAGGGTTTAGGCTTCCAAATTTCTGCTCAGCCACATTTTAGAAAGTGCCAGAGATTCTGAGATCAGCATTTGTGGTCCATTGGGAGGGGTCAGGCCACCATGGCAGTCACTTAGCGTCCATTGACCATGCACAAGATCCATGCATTGTCCTGTCAGAGAACATCCCAGGACTTTCTCAGCTTAGAAGGTGCTTCTCAAGTGAGAACAGCAGTCACTTCACTAAGACCAGGTAGGGGGAGGGGGTTGGGAGACCTGGTGAACTGGGGATTTCAACACTGTCACCTTCTAGCCATCAGAGCTACTGCAACATCTAGGAATGGGGGAGGGGGGGCTGCTCCTTCCAGTGGAAAGAAACCCCAGCTTTTCAGCTGAATTATCGTCACTAAAGGTAGGTGTGAAGCTCTCCTATAACTATACACTGTTCATACTGATGACTCACCTTTTTTCCCTCATAGTATTTTCCCTTTACTTTCATAGATAGATCCAATAAAGAAGGGGTAAAGAGGCCTGGGTGTGTGGTTTGATAGTAGCGCTTGTGCAGCAAGTGCAAAGTCCTGTGTTTGATGGCGGTGGATGTAAGGCGATAGAGTTTTATTTATTTATTTTTTCATCATCAGATTAGTCTTCTAATAGAACACCACAAAGAACTATTCCTCCTAAATGGGTCACATTAAACCTCATTAATTTTTTAGCAGTTGCTTAAAAACAGTCTGGCTTTGGAAGTACTTATTCAAATGTTGTTCATCCAGTATCAAGCCTCTTTTCTGATCCTGGAAGATGTTTTATTTTTAAATATGAGCTTTATTTAGTTCATTTCCAAACCTCTAAAAATGAACATATAAATAAACTGAGCTAAGTCATATCTATGTTTTACATGAGTAAGGAAATTGTTGTATATAGTTTGGGGATACGTAAGTATGCCTGTGGTGTGCATGCAAGTAGGTGTGGGTTGGTTGTGTGCAGTGGCTATGGGGACTGAATTAAAGTTTTTGCTGCTTCTAGGTCTACAAGAACAGGCAGCAAGTGTCAAAGGAGTGGTATAGATAAAGGCCAGTCCTGAATAAACTTGGCAGTACAGTTTATCAAGAAGAATCTTGTGGGTTTATAATTCTGAGTAAAGCAAACAATCACCATTTGAAATGAAAGGCAAACACAAACTGCAGGTGAAGTATAGTTTCCATATTTAAAGTATGGTAAGGAGGAAGTAACCATAGAAATGGCCAAGTGATTTTGGTCAACACTGTTAAACAGATACACAACCATTGGTAGGTTAATATAAACCCACAGGCACTGGGATTTTTTTTCCCCAATAACATTTGGCTGAGATGATGCAAGATTTCATAACTAAACTTTTACCTACACCAAGTACGCTGAAGTTTCACTACTTGACTACTTTCCCTGAATGATTATTTTGCTGACTTGTAAAATTTCAAATGTAACTAGATTTTTAAAGAAATCCCCAATCTTTTGTTAACAGGAAAGCAGCTTATCTTCCTTCCCTAGAAATCCTATAAAATGAGTGTTAATTTAAAGTGCGTTAAGGGCAGAAAATCCAGAGCCTTGGCTGTGAAAATGCACATAAATTAATAAATTGTACTTCTAACACTAGGCTCCTTTCTAACATAAGGAGAAAATTGAATCAAATCTCTAATAGAAAAAAATTATTCTGGAACTGAATACTAGGGAGGAACATACTACCTTCCTAGCATCGTTACTGAGCTTCAAGATGTTGCTTAACCGTACAATTTAGGGAGTTCTTGGAAGCCTTGACAGTAATGACGTCACTTCATATTAAAATATGGGAGGTTCCTGAATTCTCCAGCTGTTTTTCCCCTAAGCATCTAAACTTAAGAATTTATTTTCAATATTGAGTCAGAAAATTCATTTTAGATTTGGAATTTCTGACTTCTTGCCAAGAGTTACAAACCTTTTAAGAAGTTAAGATTTAGCAACTAAAATTTTTACAGTGATTGAGGTGGAAGATTTAAATAGTATTGTTGACAGCCACCTGAATTCAGCTTCCCTTATAGCAGTAATGTTAGGTGAAAATGTTAGTGATGATTTTTCATACATGTATTAGTCTTGGCCTGTGCTATTTTTTCATCCAGGAAAAATAATGAGTGTATCTTTTCCCTGTGTCTGGGTGCAGAAGAGAAATTGCCCCATACATTTTAAAATGTAGACCAGCTGAGCAAAGAGAGTGCATTCAATTATTTGAACAGATCATCTTGAGCCAGGTATTTAAATAGCAAGTAATGTCTGTTTTCATAGAGTAACAAATAGTATGCTAATTCTGACTGGGAGTTAAAATTATTTTTTGAAGCAAAACATTTACTGGTACATTTTAGATATACATGATGATAACATTCATCATAGGGAATTTATACCCATACATGATATATCTTGCTTCTTTTTTTTCCCATTCCCCTCCCTCAACCCCTCTTCCCCTCCTTATTTACAAAAGCTTTTTTTCCTTCTATTCTTTTTTTTTCTTGTCCCTTTTTCCCTTTACCCCTCCCCTTCCATTGTTCCCCTTTTAATTTGAACATTTGTTTCCCATTTCCCAGTATCTAGTATACATTTTAGTAATAATTTCCACTTTTGGTTTCTCACACCAGAGAAACAATACGGTATTTAAACATGTGTGTCTGATTTATTTTACTTAAGAGTATGGTCTCAAGGTCCATACATTTACCCAGACATGTCTCAAGCTTATCCTTCTTAATAGCAGAGTAATACTCCACTGTATTTCAGAACACCCACATCATCTTTATCCATTCATCGGTTGATGGGCATTTGGGCTGTTTCCAAGATTTAGCTATTACAAACTGTGCCACTGTAAATGTGGGTGTGCATATATCACTGTGGTATGATGTTTTTAATTCTTTGGGGAAGATACCCAGCAGCATTGGGTCAAATGGGACCTCTAGTCCTAGTTCTTTGAGGTATCTCCATACTGATTTCCACAGTGGTTGCCCCAGTCTGCACTCCCACCAACAATGGAGAAGAGTTCCTTTCTCCCCACACCCCTGCCAGCATTTGTTATTGGTTGATTTCTTGATAGTAGCCATTCTTTCTGGGGTGAGTGAGATGGAATCTCACCGTTGTTTTAATTTGCCTCTCTCAAATGACCAGTGATGTTGAACACTTTTCATATATTTATTTGCTATTTGTTCTCCATCTAAAAAGTGTCTATTCATTTCAGATGCCCATTTTTGGATTGGGTCTTTAAATTTGAAGGGGGTCTGAATTTTTTGAGTTCTTTATATATTCTAGATAGTGGTCCTTTGAGGAACAGCTAGCAAAACTTTTTCCCACACTGTGGGTTGTCTCAGAGTTAAAACTATGTACAGTGAAGTAGAATACCATGTGGACTTTATCTGAAAAATTGTGGGTGCCCCCATTTCCGGATCATTCCTCCTACTACTAGCCCACCTGCTTGGAACTCCCTCTCTTTATTCCATGTGCCTTTTATGGCTCAGTTAAAGTTTCTGATGCAACCTTCTCTTCCTGTTCCACCCTTCCAGACATTCTTAGGTATTAGAATTACAAGGATACTTAAAGACCATTTGATCCAAGCCCTTGTTTTCCAATTAAACTGCAGTTAAATGACTTATGGAAGTCTCAACTTTTTTCTTCCCATGAATTTTTTGCAGCAGTTGTCATTCCCATAGTTTGGTACATAGTGTGTGCTTTTTTATATAATTTGTCTACATTGTGGCCAGAGAAGATGGCATGCTGTCTGAAGGCAGTTGGCAATGTACAATACATTTGTTTGTTTTCTTCTGCCTAGAATAGAACTTGGTTCTTGTCACTCAATAAATATTTGATAATTTGATATTTAAGGTTCTGCTTAAATATTTAGAATATAACATTCACCTGGGTCTGTTTTGTAAACTTTCGAAGATAGGCATTATGTTGGACTAAATATAAAATTGATACTTCAAAATGGGGCTGCTCACATTCATTATTGTTTGCCTTTTTTTGTTTCCTCTACAAATTTTACATTCTTCTCCCATTTGTGTGTAGAGGGAGTTTTTTTTTTTTTTTGGTTTTTTGTGGTAGTACTAAGAAGTGAACCTAGAACTTTCACATTGGGCTATAATTCCTTTTTTTGAAAAATTCTTTGAGACAAAGTCTCACTAAGTTGCCCAGGCTGGGCTCAAACTTGCAACTCTCTCCCCACCTCAGCCTGCCAGAGTGTAAACCACCTGATCATAAGTGTAAACCACCACATCTGGTTTGTGTGCTCATTTTTACTATAGTGTATTAACTCTGCTTATTGATGTGAGGCTAGGGACTTTGGAGAAGGATGCTGTTGATACACCAATTTGAATTAAGTTTAAATTAAATGTATGGGCCAGGGATTTAGCTCAGTGGTTCCGGCACCTGCCTTGTAAGCACAAGGTCCCAAGTTCAATCCCTGGTACCAAAAAATAAATAAATTAAATGTATGGCAACTGTTCCCAGTGACGTTTCCCACTGACCACGCCTCAAGAAGAGGACTCATACAGCAATTCCTTCCTTACTTCTTATGGGCCATTTCTACACACTTTGAAAGCTTTTCAGTATCTGGCACAGCTTTCTAGTTTGCTATGACACTTAGCAGTCAGTGTTGGCCTTCTACCAGGTGATCCCAGGAATGT